CATTTTCTCTTAAAATTTTCAAATCTTAGAAATTCCTTTTCGGTTTTTCTGTTTTTTTTTTTTTTTTTGAAAATATATAAACAAAAATATGCAAAGAAAAACATTCCTCTATCAACAAAATATGATAAAATTAAAAATGCATTAACAAAGAAAAGTAAAGATGTATTCAAAAAGCAAAGAAAAAAAATTAAAACAAAAAGAAAATAAATTCCAGTGTCTCTTAAACTTCCTCTAGAAATTAAAGAAAAATTAATTAGAATTTTTTTAATTAGAATGAAATTAAAAATTTTACACAGATAGAAAAATTATGTTTGTTTCATATAAAAAATTCAATAACAAAAATTTCGTATTGGAATTTTCATTTATGACAAATGTTTTAATTTCTCCATTTCAAGTTCCAATAGGAAATTTATTTAGAATCCAGTTGGAAGTTAGTAGTACGTAAATTGGAATTACCATAGTTGATTTGATTCCTAGGTAGTAAAAATAATATGATTTAGGTAAGTTCATAAAATTTCTAAACTGAGACCAAACGGATTCTAAACAATTTTATCTGATGTAATTAAAAACTGAATTTACTGACTGACCGGCTCTAAATGTGCATCTTTTGTGTAATCGAATTTCAATTCAATGTCCTGTTCATTTATTACCTTTGAGTCTATATAATGACTAAGACAATATTGTTGTTGATGTTAATTCCTGATATTTCAGATCTAAGTATTTCATTTTCATTTCTTAAAACAATATTTTCATATATCCTTTTATAGGACAACTTATTTTCAATGATGCTTAATTTTTTTTAGATCTGAAAATTTGCTTGCGTGGAATGCACGTTACAAAATAATTTTATCCAACTTATATGGGAGAAGTGACTATTATTTTCATCTATTTCTGAAGTACTGATCACAGGTAAGCTCAGTGTCGAATGTAGTCCGATCGATTTGTTTTTCTGGTGCTTTTTATGATACAGATTACAAAACCAAAATTTGTCCACAGTTTCTTGAATTCATAGAATTCTTCAATGGATGTACCGCCGCATATGTAATGAAACCATTTCTGACAATCACTATCACATTTTATTATTTTATATTTTATTTGTATTCAAAAATTTTATTATATTTTCCAAAAATTTATTTTATTAGCCCCTTTGACAATTACGAGGGCTGTCCCAGAATTAAGTAACCTAACCAAAGAAAACACAAAAATTTTGAAAAAAAAATAAGCCTGGCAGAAAGCTCTATCATTTTAAGGATTAACTGTCACACTTTTACTTTTTTTTTTTCTTTTCAGATTACCGACTATTAATAGTGAAGCTTTTCAGTAAATTTTTAATAAGGATGAAATTGGCTATCGTTATGTCATTCAATATTTTTATTTGAAAGGTCTTAGTCCAGCCGGTATCAAAAGTTAACTAGATTCTACACTAGAGGAGTTTACTCCCTCATATGCAATGATTAAAAATTGGGTACCGCAGTTTAAACGTGGCCGTACGAGCTGTGAAGATGAACATTGCACTGGTCGACCAAATGAGGTCACCACGCCAGAATCGGTTAAAAAAATCCACAAAATTATACTAGACGACGGTCGATTAAAAGTGCGTCAGTTAGCTGATATAGTAGGCTTATTAAAAAGTTCTGTGCATCATATATTGACTCGTACCTATATTACTCAATAAAATTGTTATACAATTAATACATTTTATAAAAAAAATCATAAAATTCCCAAATATAATTTAGTTTAATAATTTTATAAATATTGCATACTTTTAGGGTACTGATAAAATATATCTAATACAAAGCGTAGAATTAATAGAAAATAGCTTATAAATAGTATCCATATAGGAAGAAAATAAGAATTAATACTTAAAAAATGTTTTCTAATAAGCCTCAACTTCAATATTTATATTTCTATTCTGCTTAATTTAAGATGAAAATGAGAGAGTAAATTCTCATTATTTAATTTGAAATTAATCCGTTCTATGTCCAGGAATGATAGTAATTATTTACTACTAATATCGAAATCTGAAATATTATAATATTCAAAATTTCGTGTAATTTTCGAAAATTGCTCTTTAGTTAACACTACACTATTCAAAAAAAAGATTGGGAATATCTTCTTTAAAAACTTAATTGTAAAAATATTATTGTTTTACTTCAAAGAAAAATTCCTTATAATTTATAACATTTACATTAAATATATATTTAGCATATTATAAATGAAATATATATTTTATATAAATTTAAATTTACAATTATGCTTACATACATATACATTATATTATAAAAGGTGTATTGATTTCTTTTGAAGTTTTAATTGTAAATATCAAAGTAACAAATAAGAAATACGTGAAATAATTTCTCTTATTCTGTGCACTTATAAATTAAAATTTATCCATTTTTTTTCATCATTACACTTGTAAATGGGCAAATTTGAATGGAAATTGTATAGAAAAACAAAATCAAAAATTGCCATTTACAGAATAATATTAATGTTATACTAGTACTCGTAGTAAATTTATACTAACTGTTTCCAAATATTTACTACTATCGCTCAAAAAGCGCAATCTAACAATCTAAAATCAAGTAAATTTTACGTATATACGGATATTTACAACATATTCAGATATTAATGGTAATGGAATCTGTAAGTTTTAGCTAGTTTTTTGAGACAATACACAACTAGGTGTGCAAGAATTAATATCATCTAAGGGAGGGAATATGTACAAGGACGCAATGGAAAAATCCATGTCCAGTTAAATTTTCCAATTTTCATTCATCTTTTAAAGTTGCTTTATTATTTTATAGTTTCTCTGGGTCGATTTTAGCACCTTGCTTCCTAAATATTATTGAGTCTAAGATATCCTGTAAATAGATTCAATTGCAATTCATATTCCTACCTTAATATTTAATCATTATTTAGTATAATTTTTTTCTTTATTATTTTAGGAGTGTACATTACATCCATTTACTTTAATATTACATTTTTAAGGAATAACAACAAGAATAAAAGAGAAAATAATCAAAATAAATAATCTTATATGCAGCAATAGACTAACTTTGGTAAATTAAAGGCGCACCCCTTATGAACCAAACATAACAAACCAATAAAGTAAAAAGAACCAAAACTCAATTCAATTTTTTTACCTTTTAAAGTAAAACATGTGTAAATATATTTTTGTATTTAAGTAATGTACATACATATATGTATATTTTAGTTGATTTTTTAAGTTTCGAGCAAAAGGGCTATAAACCACAAATATTCCAACTTTTTTTTTTTTGTTTTTTTTTTTTGTAAATTCTTCTTCTTTGGTTTTGTTTTTTTCTTTTACTTTTTTTAATATGTTTTGATTTTTCATACATAATATTACCATTTATATCCCATCCATCCATCCATCCATCCATCTATTTAACCATCATCATACTCACCATACTATGTACATATAAAATATCGTGTATAAAAATATAATAATAAGAACAAAAAAAAAAAAAAATATTATGACTAAAATAAAATCCGAATAAAAGGCGAACTGAACTGATACATCAAGAATGCACACACATAAAAATAACAACAACAACAATAAAAAAAATAATAGTAATAATAATAGTACCTATAATAACTAAGTATTATATGGACCCCAAGTTAAAATTGTTAAAACATACCATTGCATATATACAAGATACTCAGAATGAGTTTATACGTGTGTGCATTGTACTCGTATATATATGTATATACTATAAGCAACAATGTATACATTTTACAAATATTTAAGTTAAAAAAAAAATATTGAAATTGGTAATCATTATATGCATATGTACAATATTAACATATATATATATATGTATATGTAATTGTATACTAGACATTTTTGTTTACATTTACGACTATCATAAAGTTCGCATTAGGTTTATGTCATTTTATACTTGAATCAACGAAACAAACATAATATTATACAAAAAACAAAAAAAAAAATAATAAGAAAAATCAAAAATAATAAAACAAAAATATATATTACATATATGTATGTAACGACATATTTAAGTATATATAGATGTATGTACATATAGATATATTAAAACAAATATGTAATAATAACGATAATAACAACAACAAATATCACAACAACAACAGCCATGAAAAAAATATTCATTGGGTTTTACAGTTTCAATTTTCTTTTTGTTACTGTTAGTTCGACACAAAACTCCGTTACGAATAGTCCATGCATTTTTATTTTTGTTTTTGTAATTATTGTTGTTCTTGTGCTTTTTATTTCATTTAACAAATTGCGATTAACACGAAAATATTAACAAAACAATTTTTCATAAATTACATTTATTTTACAAAATTAAAATACAAAAAAAAAAATTAAAATTAATTTAATAATATTTTAATGAATAAAGAAGAGAAAGAGTACGGAAACAAAATTGTAAAGAGAATCGGAAAAAGAGAAAAAATAAAAATTTTCCGGCTTTTCACCATTCATTTATTATTCATTTTTTTTTTTTTATTTCTTCTCTTATTTTTAATATTTTCACATTATTTTTGTGTTTAACAATTTATAGAGTGAAAAACAAAAATTTCTTAACAATTTTTTGCCACAAGTTTTTTACGTGCCCAAATTTTAATCAAAAGTGCAAAACAGTTTTAGAATAAACCTAGTAAATCTCGCACATTTTGCAAAAACAAAAAATTAATAATTAATACAGAAGTGCAATACCAAAATAAATAAATAGAAAAAAAAATTACTAAGCAAAATCTAGTAAACAAAATGAAAATTTTCAATTTGAAAAAATAAAAAAATTGGTTCATTAACTTAGAAAAATAAATAAACAAAATACTTAAAGAATCGTCAAAAAAAATAAAAACAAAAATATACCCTTTCGGTTTTTACCGTAACAAATTGAATAAAATAAATATTTACACAAAATATAAAAGCACATAAAGGAAAATAAAAAAAATTAAATATATAAAGCTAAGCTTTATAAGCTAAGCTCATAATTGGATTTTGTTTATATACATACATACAAACATATTATACACATGCATACACGTATAGAATAGAAGAAAAGCAGCAGTAGTAGTATAAGAAAAATTTGCAAAAAAAAAAAAATATAAAACAAAACATAGGAAAAACTATCAGAGAATAAAGAAAATAAAGATAAAGGCAGAATACAAAATAGAGAAAAAAAAAAATAAAAATTAAAAATGTATTTGTGGATGTTTTATATTGCAAGTATAACATTAAGTTCAATTGTATGTGATGACGTCACAAATGGGTAAGAATTTATCAATTTTAATTTTCTTTAATGAGATAAATTAAATAAAATTAATTTGATTCTATTAAACAGTAGAACTTTAATAATTCGAATCATTCTAAATATTAGAAACTATTTTTGAATATCAGAAAGAAAGTCAATTATTTGAGATTAATGTTATGAACGTTTAACTAAAAAATCAATTAAAATTCTTGTTGTAAAATTGGATGTCAAATTTTCTGTACTGTTTCTTTGATACAGAACATTCTGTCTGCGCTTAATTCCTTGTTGACGAAGGATTTCTAGAGTTTTTTTTAGAATTAATATTAAAAATCCTTAATACCATGTTAAGGACCAATTTCACCTAAAAACATATGCCTATTAATAAAATTCCAAAATGGTTCAATAATGATCGCAATTGCAATGCATAGCAAAATAATCTACTAATAATTTCTTTTTTCGTTTATAGAAACTTGGCTGGTAGAGGATTTGTCTAGAAAACGGTCACTGGTTTCCATTCAATTCGAGAAGAAAAGTAATTTAATTTTTCTCTCATAACTTCCATTAAATCATGTCATCCTTTTGTTTTGCAGTTGAATGAAGGAAGTTTTATTGTTTAGTTCTTAAAAATCTTATAAAACATGACTTTTTTTTAAATTATTTAAATTACAAAATTTCTATTATAAATTATACATGTAGTTAGTATGAAAAATAAGGGAATAAATAAAAATTAGCAATAAAAATACTCAATATAAAATTGAATAATAAATTACAAACTGCAGCTGTTATGAACATAGGTCCTTAATTAGCATTCTAGAAAAAAATTTTTGTTTAATTAATACCAAGTACCAATCGCCTCCAAAAATGAAATTGCGACAATATCTTCAATTGGTCTAATAAAATGCAAGAATTTTAAATCAATCAATCAAGAACAGCTAATTTTCGTTCAAATGTGTGTGTAGATATCAGAGAAAGCCGAATTCAAATACAGAAATAATATTTGAAGCATTTAATTGTAAGTATTCGGAGCGAATCTCAATATTTTATACGTGTAATTGGTTACAATCCATTATCACGATAATCGAAACTTAAACCATTCAAATTAGTGATCCTTTAACGACAAACAATCGTCAATAGTATTTCTCAATTTCCTTTTATATTTACTCTGCATACATTTTCCATATACTTGCTATTTAATCCTTATATGCAACCAGAACAATTTTTGTTCATTTGAAAACTCTCTTATTCACTTTTGCAAATTTCAAATCCCATTGAAAATTAGTATATTTTACTTAAAATATTAGGCACTTCATTTAAAATTTTCAAAGCAACTCCAACTTTTTTCCGTTTCTTCTTCTTAATTAAATTAAAATTTTTTAAAAAATAAATAGTTTCGACCTCATAATTGTATAATGATAAACAAGTGCGATAGTAAAAAAAAATTTTTTTGGGTCTTTTACACCTCTAAAAACAAACAAAAATATTTAATTATTTAATTTATTATTTTTTATTTTCAATTGTTTAAAATATTTATGAAAAATTTTCTCATCTTTGAAATTTTCCTTCATATTCCTTCAAATTTTAATTTTTATATCTTTTTCTTTTTTGTTTTATTGTGAAATTTTATTGACAAAAAAAAAAAGATATGAAATTATGATAACTAAAATGTAATCTGGAAAAAGTAAACATAAATTTTTGTATACATAACCTTCCCTTCTTGAAAAGTATTTTAGGAGTGGTTTTTGTTTTTTAAATAAAAGTAAATTTTAAAATGGTATAAAAAAATTATCAGCCATGTAGGCCTAACTATGATATTTAAAGCATGGGAAAATAATGAAAATTTTAATAGATTTCCAAAATTAATTTTGAAATTTAGAGTTAAGCGTGAATAAATGCTTGTACTATAATATTTCATATCGTAGAGATGTTTGCATTCTTAAATTAATGGATCGTTTAAAATGGTTATTCAGAAGTTTACAACAGCAAATATTAAATTTAATTAGGATTTAGTTGGGCAGAGGCAAAATTCAAATAAGTTTACTGCAATGTGCCGTAACATTATATAATTTATAAAGCCTTCATCAGATCAACATTTCTAACAAGTCGATAGATCTGTCCAAACATCAATTACCCAAGTCCGAAACCAAATTCCAAATCCAAATTTCCGTCTAAGCTATTGTTTCAAATTTTTGTTCTACTTGTAATTTCTAGTAAAAATACTAGCTACAATTTCGAACTTCCCGCTATAACACGGTATCCATCTTTTTGTAAGAACGACGGAAAGTGAAAAATCATATTTGCTGCAAATTTAGCCCACGCATTAACATAGCATCCTTAATATTATTAATTTCCTCTTTCTTAAATATCTTTCGGGAATTTACATCATTTTGCCTTCTCCGTTCTAATTGAGGGCGGACGAACAAGTACAGATTCAATATCAATTTTACCAATGTTCAGTAATTGTATTTTACTGTATTACTGTATAATCAAGTATGTCATAGGTCTAAGGTATGTGCTGATTGACAAACTTTGGGTAACTTGAGTTTGATAAATTTTATAACAATTACTTTGCAAAGATTTATTGTTGTTTTCAAATTTTCCATCACTTTTAGTTTTTTGTCATGATTGTATTTGAAGTTTTGAAATGCCTAAATATTTTAGAATTAATATCCTTTCCTTTGCTGGACGATGAAGTGCGTATAAAATAAAGAAGATAACATTTTTTTAAAAAATTTTAATTTGGAAATTTATAAATAGAAACAAAAATATTTTATGTCAAAAAACGTTCTGAAGAATTATTGCATATGGTGCGCACCTACTCACATACTTATGCATTCTTTATTCTTCTCTTTTTTTTTTCAAATTGTTGTTTTCAAACTAAACGACTTTTTATAATTTACCGTTATAGCTTTTTACACATGCATACAATCATTAATATTAATTAACTATTATTATAGCTGACCAACATATTTTTTCAACATAACTACTGAAGCGCTATATCGGTATTTTTTGTAAACACCACACAATATAATGTGATTAAACTGCAATGTTATTCATACGTCCTAATCATATTGATTATAAAAGATTTCTGTTTAAATTTTTTGAGAACAATTTTCATATTATAATTAGTATGAAGCGTGAAAATTAAAGTTCAAATACTGAAATTTTTTACAATTATTGCTTTAATTAATCACAACTGCAAAACATTTCTTAAACTTTTTAAACAACAATGTGCACAACAAATGAATATTAGTCAAACCATAGTAATAAAATTAGACATTTAATTTCGTCAGCACCACCTATGGGAATTTATTATAAAATATAATTAAATTATTAATATTTTAATTTCGCACGGTTTGAGTCTCTGATTGCGTTTTTTAAATTCACCATTAATATTTAGTACATAAAAGTATCGTACTAATACAAAATTTAAGTTTTCCACCATTAATAATGTCATGTTTGATTTAGGCACGTTAAATTAAAATTTAAATAGAATTAAAATAGCTTCAAAGCGTTAATTCAAATTGAGTTTTCATGAGAAACAAATTTATTTTATCAATATATTTTTGAGTATTACCGACAAATTTGTAAAAAATGGTTATACTCGTAAGTATAAAATTTGGTATAAAAATGTGTATAATATTTCACAAATGTGATTGGATGAGATGATTGAATTAGCGAAAACATGAAGGTCATTTGAACCTTTATTTTGCCACAAATATGAAAATCCCATGAATTTAATCAAAAATAAAAATGTTTTTCAAATAAAACATTTTGTAGAGAAAAGAATGAGCCATATTTTTGTGAACTTACATACTGTTGATTATACACATAAGAACGTATGTTCTAAGGGGTATCTTTAAATAACTTCGTGTTATTTGGCTAGATCTCGAAAAATATAGAATCTACAGGATTTAAATTTCCCAAAATCAAATATTTTATTTAGAATCTTATGTTTGTTAAAACTAGTTGAAATTGCTTGAATTGTGATGGTAGCTGTTGACAAGGTCATTTCTACATATTCTCGTTTTACTTAAAAGAAACCATTTTTCATTTCATTTTGTGCCATATACTTTAACATTTTATCATATTTCTTTTATAGCGAACAATATATATCAAAGCATACTGTGATGGCTGTATTTAGTCCAATGATACGTAGCCCTGGCCCATGTAAATATTTTCCAGCAACAAGAAAACAAAAACATCAATGTGGAAAAGATTATTTTTTAGCTGAAGCTATTAAAGAGGCAAGAACATTAGCTGTAACACATTGTGAACAACAATTTGCTTATGATCGTTGGAATTGTTCAATTGAAACAAGAGGAAAACGAAATATTTTTAAAAAATTATATAGAGAAACAGCATTTGTACATGCATTAACAGCAGCTGCAATGACATATTCAATATCAAGAGCATGTGCTGAAGGTCGAATGTTACGATGTAAATGTGGTGGTGATTCATTAAGAGCACCAATGAATTCGGTTCAAAATAATTTTCGTTATGGTGGTTGCAATGATAATATAAAACATGGTAAAAGAGCAACAAGAGCATTTCTAGAATTAAAAAAATCTGATGGAGATGAAGTATCAGAATTGTTAAGGCATGATTCTGAGGTAATTTTTTTTTTTGTAAAGTATTTAAATAAACTATTTTGAATATTTTCAATTGCTATTCAAGTGTAGTCCAAAAATTAGGTACAGCAAAATTTTAAATTTAAGTATTAGCTGGAAAATGCAATGTTACACTATATTTTCGTAATTTCCATAATACGAGTAACAAATTTAAAAGGAAATTTCCGACACTAATGTTTAAATTTGCAATCGAAATCAAATTTGCATTTAATATTTTTTTTCTTTTACGAACAATTTAAGAAATTCAATAAATTTTCATTTCTATTGACAATGCAATTTATTAGAAAATTACAGTAAAATTGTTAAGTGCGCTACTATATAAATGAAATTATGTGTACACAATATTATAATCCCGTAAAATCAATAACGCCTCATTGCATTGTTCCATTCATCATATTTTGCGCGGAAAACACGTTTATTTGTATTTATTTAAGTAGTTAGAAAACTACTTCTTAGGTGACAGCTTTTTTAACTATAATATAAATGATATTGTAAATATTTATTTAAATTATTTAAAAATAAATATAAACAAAAAATGAAAATTAAATAGAAAATTAAAATTAAAAATCGTAATATTTAAGGTTTTCTAGTATCTACAATATTTGTTAGCATTTCTAATATTTATATGAAAATTTAACATATTGCTACTTTTACGGAAGCTGTTGAGAAAATTAATATTGTGAATAAATTAAAAAATAAAATCAGTAAATCAATTAATTAAAAACAAATACCATTTTCTCTTAAATACTTCAAATAAATCAAAAAAATTCTTCCCGCTCGCTTAAATCGCTAATTTTTAATTTTTAATTTTTTTTAAATATTTTAAATTTTATTGAAAAATTCCAATGCCTCTTAACTTATTTAAGGACTCTATATTATACGACATAAATATTTTTATTAATATTAATTTGTGTTTTCTAAAATTTTAATTGTAATTTAATTATATTAAACGCTTTAAGAAAAATAATTTAATTTCCATAGTCCTTTTCTTCTTTTAATAAAAGTAAATTTTCCGGATTTTTATTAAAAGAATAAAAACCATAGTAAGAAAAGAAAATTCAATTTAGCATTTTTCTTCCATTCAAAATCTCATTCCTATATTTAAATTTGTACATAGTATGTGTATTATTAATAATATTGTAAGTACCAAGTGTAACGTAATAAAATACTTTAATAAAAACAAGAGATGGAATTGAAGGCTATAAATATATGAACTACATATATTTGATAAAATAACAGCTTTTATACTAGTAATACTAGAATACATACTTTTATATAAGTAATCATTCTCAAGCGTTTCTCAGAATTATTCATTCTCAATCCTCAGAAATATTGTAAAAATGAATAAAACTATTACAAAAATAATCAAAAGAAACTCTACTATAAAGTATTGTACTGTAACAAGCTGATTAAATTTGACCCCTATCTGTGCAGAATCTGCAAGGTAGTTACGAGATTCCAATACAAATTTTGTTTAACATTTCGGTATTGCGTTTTGAAAAACAGGCTAGCAAAAAATTTCAAATTTTTGAATTAAAATCTTAACTTACCACATGAACAGCAAAAATATAGCAAAAATCTGCTTGTATGGAGTCCGTATCCTATTCGAAATGTATATTGGCTCATCAACAACACATCCAATACCATATTTTTAAATGTCTTCTGGTTTTGTTGCATAATTTTACAATTAAGATCTCGATTTTCTTCTATCCATATTTCCATAATGCTATTTATTCTATAATAGAACAACTTGTACAATATATAACATAATTTCTGTTACTTTTACACTTTCTAAGAATCACCATTATTATCATCATTATATTTTATATACGTTCAACAATATTTTCTTTATATTTTTTAACTAAATTATAAATTCTTTCTCTATTATATAGTTTCTTCTTTGTATATATTTGAATATTTTCTAGTAAAAGATAATTTAAAAGAAAAACTTTCATTTTATGTAGGTGGGTATTGAAGTTGTTGCATCTACAATGAAAGAGAAATGTAAATGTCATGGTGTATCAGGTTCCTGTTCAATGAAAACATGTTGGAAAAAACTTTCTGATTTCAATACAACAGCTGTCATATTAAGACAAAAATATCATGAAGCAATACGTAAACCACCATCAAATAGAGCATCTAGACGTGAAGCACCACTAATAAAACGACCTAAAAGAAAAAAGGTTATTTTTTTTTTAAATTGTAATATTTACATATAACAAATGCATAGCTTTATGTATAAAGTTTTAATATAAGATGTTTGACAATTTTTTTAATAGTGACTTTAAATATTAAAATTAAAATTCAAAAAGTTAAAAAGGATAAAAATTATTTCTGTGTTGGAATAAGCTATCAATGCTTGATTAGGAGATAAACTTATATTTGGGGTCGTTATTCGTGTTGCGTTTTTATTTGGAAAAAATAGGAAAATTTTTTGATATTGGTTATACGTAGCAATAGATTTTAGTGGGAGTAGGTCTGTGGAAAGATTAGGTAGTAAGAGTAGGTCTGTGAGCTTCTAATTTAACTGCTTTCCTTATTTTACGCGTACAACTTTAAAACCTTAGATTGCATTAGTAGTATAATGTTTGTAATCTTAAATTATAATTTATTTTAAGATTTTCCTAAATCTAGATTAAAAACCCATACCTGTGACAGTCAATTATTCTAACAGAAAGATTATTTCATTATCTTAAAATTTTATTTTTAATGCTTTGCTGCATTTATAGCTAGAAATTAAATTAATCTAAACAATCGTCTGACATCTTTTAAATCAATTTTTTAGCATAATTATAAATTTTTTATTGTTTTTTTAGGAAAATGAATATTCTACATTATATTATATGGAGACATCACCAACATTTTGTGCAGTAACACGTGGTAGACGTTGTTTACATCCTGAAAATTGTTCAACATTATGCTGTGGTCGAGGTTATGAAACAATGGTAGTTAAACAAATAGAAAAATGTAAATGTAGATTTAAAGATGGACGTTGCTGTCAAGTGATATGCGACTATTGTCTTCGATATGAGGATAGATATTTTTGTAAATAAATTGATATTGATAAATAATTTTAGAAATGTGGAAAGGAAAGATTTAATTGAACTTAATGAAGAAAGAAGAAAAAAATTCAAAAATTTCATTTTAAATGTATTTAATAATATTTTTTAATTAAATTTAATTATTATAATAACTAAATGTAGATATATGTGTATGAATACTTTATGTAAAACAAATTTTAAATGGAGAATTATTCAAAAGTTTCAGAACTTTTTTAATATTTTAAACTGGAAACTAATGATATTAATAGGGATGTGGAATCCAGTTACTTTGTGGCATTCATGAATACTCGTTGATTCACTCATTAATACCCGTTACTTTTTACTCGTTACTAAAGTACTTCAAAAAATTTTTTTAAGGCTCTGTAATAAGACTTTGTTTCATGTGAACTAGAAACCAGACATGATTTTAAAAACTTATTCCTGGCTATTGATAAAAAACATCAATTTGCGAAGAATTAAAGCAGCTCGACTTTTCCTAAAAAATATAGTCCAAAAAAAATTGTGCCACTTTTGGGACTATTTTAATTTTTTGTCGTTTTTGTAGCTTCTATTACAGGATCGGGAAGTACCTTTTTTGAATTAATCCTTGAGTTTAATTGATCTATGGTTCCCAAGATTTCAGAACTTTTTTAATAAGAGCATATTGAAGTTCTTTATCAAAATCGAGTAATAGGTTTGGTGAATCATATTTATATATATATTTACACTTGCATTTATATACATTAATAATTGAATTCGAAAAAAATCCGTAAATTCTCTCCACTTATACATAAGTACAATATTTTAATGTAATTAACATCACACTGTAATAACCGCATCTATACAACAACAACAACCACACATGAATCAATCCAAATACGAATCTGATACATTCTGATTATCCCATTAACTATATCAAAAATATAATCAAAAAAATACTGTGATTATGTGCGAATATTGAGTAATGAGTATTCTTGATCTATGCGGAACCACTTACTTGGAATTCTGGAAGTAACGAGTATTAAAATAAAGTGTAGTTAGTATTTGCACGCCACTAAATATTAAATGTAATTGAAGGTTCATAAATCAAATCGAGAATCAATTTTTTTTTCTTTAAAATAATTTTAATTAACATTGAACGCTTATTTGTATTTAACTATTTAAATACAATAATAAATTTAAAAAATAATACAATTAATAAATAAATTCTGAAACTTTTGAATAAAAATCGTATAAGTCCAATGTTGCAAAATTTTTCATTTAGCTCAATATAAGCCAATTAACCAACTAACAAAAGTTATTCTTACTTTTACAGATATTTTGAATTTAATGAACACTCCATGCATCAATTCCATTAAAATTTTTGTAAAAATCCTACATGAAATATCAATTTTATTGAATTATCAGATTATTGACTGCAATAAAATATACATACTAGCTATATATATACTCGTATATATACTTTTTTTGTACATATTCATATTTAAATAATATAAAAATAAAATGAAGCCATTAGAGACCCGAAAAAAAAAACGAAATTTATTAAATTAAAAATTTATAAGCAAATAACTTGTATTAAGATCCATTTAATTTTTTTTCTACCATTTAATTTTTTTGTTAAATTTTTTCTTTGTCATACAAAAATATTGTCCTATATTTATATTTTATTGAAATCCTCTTAATCATTTATTCCGTTTTATAATAAGTTGTTTTACACATGTATACATATAAAAAAATATTTTAATATACAAAACTGTAAACCATACATCATATATTTATGTATGTGTGACATAATTCAGTGTATTAAAATTAGTTGAGATTTTCCGGAAAAAAAATTTGAGTTGCTTATTAATAATTGTAACCAAAACAAAAAAAATTTTCATTAATTTTAAAAATATTTTTCAAAATTACTTAAAGCTACATAGCCCTATAATTAAAAATGTTTTATTCAATACCAAATCTCAATAGAGTAAACACATAGGAAAATAATAATGTCTATTTAGCCATAACACAAACCCATCAGTATATGACATTAATTAATCTCCGTAATTATAATTTTGCAGGCAAGTTCGGGTAATTTTCCTATAAAAAAAATTTTGAATATCAAAGCCGAATTTTGAATATAAATGCAGATATTGAAAAAAAATTTGAACATGCTTCAGGAATTTACTCAAGCCAACATTTTTGCTCTTTCATCAATGTTATATATATATATATATATATCACTATAATATATATATATACACTTTATATGTCATTATAACTTAATTTTAAGATTATTTTTAAGTCAATGTATTATTATTAATTAAGTTATTCTATATATATATACACAAAAAATATATAAATTTAATATTGTAATAAAATGTTATACTTGTATTTATTTAAAAAAAATTATAATAACAAACGATATACATAATACATACATACATATATGTAAGGATGTAAATTTACATATTTTAAAATTTTATATTTAATAATAAGTAATATTATATTAAATTTCCTTTCAAATATCCTATATCATAATATCATATAATATGACGGATTATATTACTGTCTAAATAAAATGGTGTTTAATACACACATATATATACAAAAATATCCTTTTTATGTCAAAATGCATAATACCGAACATTCAGTTTGCATATACAAAAAAAAAAAAATTTAAAATTATTGATTTCATTTGCATTTTTTACAAGAATTTTATTCAATTTAAAATTTTATGTACACGTATTTGAGGTAAGAGAAGAAATAAAATATAATTTAATAGTTTTTTATTATAAATAATAGAGGGAACTTTAGAAAAATAAGTAAATTCAATACAAAATGAGAACTGGATGAGTTAAGGGTTCAAAATCAGATGAAATTTTTCTTGAAGTTTCAATGACAATTTCAAGAAAACGGTAGTTCTAATATTATATTTGTTGACAAGATATTTCAGTAGATATTCTAAGTTCAACCATTTCTGAGTTACTGTCAAATTACTTTTATAATTTCGTAGAAGCTATCATTAAAGAAATTTGAGCAATATAATTATTAAACTTTGTTTATCATAAATTTGAGACGCATGACAGAAGTCGCGTCAATTCGGGGACAGTCCTAATAGACTGCCATAGTCGGAAATATTGAAATTTCCTAAAATTAACAATTATTCTCACTCTCGTAAGACTGGTTTTTGTTAATCATTTCCTATAATTTTTTCTACAAATAATCCACAGTATTTTGTTTAAAAATTATTCAAAGTGCTAACTCATCTCTTAACTTTTCTTATTACAACAATTTTAAATCTCTTTACATATAATTAATATTTTATATTCTCACTTTCATACATAGAAATCACGTCAAATGATTTAGAAAAAGGGTTAATTTATTCTTAAAATACGTGTAAGAAATCCTTTTATATTTCATATAATTTATAAGATGCTCTAACGATTTCTAGATAATTAAACTTACATTACTTATATTTATTCTCTTGATGAAAATCCAATGATCAACTCAAAAATATGAAATATCCTTGTACGAAATCTTAGAAAATAGGATCCAAAAACAAAAATTTACAAAATAGCCGTAATTTTTTTAAGTAAATCAATACTCTCATACCTAACAAATACAAGCACATAATAAAAAATATTTCTCATTATTTTATAGAAAAAAAGAGAAAAAATTTGTCATGCACAAAAAAAAAAATGGTTTTTTTTTTGATGTACTTGAAAAATATTTGACTAGTTCAAGTTTATCTTTAAAATAAACTCAAGGATTAAATGGTTTGTTAAGATGAAAAATAAGAAAGATGGAATAAAATTTTTTTATTCAGCAACAAAAAATTATCCTTTCTCACAATAGATAAAAAAAAGTTCGTATCCTTTAGAAAAACAAAAAAAAAAAAGAATAAAGCGAAAATCTTAAATTTCATATTTCATACTCTTAATAATAATTACATAGGATCACAACAAGTTAAATTAGGTCAAAAGTCAGCAATAAATCAATTAACCGGCTTGTCAAGCTATACAAAACATGATACTCAAATTTCACTGATTTCAATTTCTGTTAAGGTTATTAGTATAGAATGCTCTCATTTTTTTCTAAGAATTCTGAAGAAAAGTAAAAATGTGAAATAGTGAAAAGGGAAAATGTCATGTTTATTTAGGTATTAAAACCTTATCGCAATTCTTTTAGTTTCAGAACTAACACAGAATAATTTCTACATCTGTCAGTTTATTAAATTCAAGCTTTTTTTTCTCCAAAATTTTAACTTGTTGACAGACATCCCGGATTTTCCCACAATAAATTATTTTTCATTTTTTAATTTGAAAAGTCAATTTAATTTACTAATCGACTTACGTACAGAATTTTAATTTCATAAACTTAATAGCTATTTTAAATGATGGAACGTCATTACGATTCCGAAGTTTCAAGCACTTGAAATGGCTTGTGTCAAGCTTTTTAATTTAAGAAATTTTACTTCTTATTTAAATTATTGGACTTTAACTATAGTTTCTTATTAATTCAATTTAATTTGGTTGTAAAGGAAAATTTCTGAAATATTCTGACTAGCCAAAGTAAGAATACTGATTTTTTGAATAGATACACCAAATAAAACTGTGATTCATTACAACTCTTCCATTATACGCAGTCAGAGCCTCTATATTAACAGAGGCCTCCTCTCTCTATATTAAGATAGGAAATTTTTGTGTTTAGATAATCTTATACTATATTACCTAACAAAAACGAAAGTCATACTTACATAAAATGTTTAGGAACATCGAATATTAACAAGCAGATGTGGGTTGACATAAACATATATGTACAGTATATACACATGTACATAAATGAATATAGATCCTTGAAAATCTCAAATATCCTTCTTTATTTTCATCTTCTTTTTTTTTTCCTATTGAAAAATTTTTACAATAAGAAAAACTTAAATTATTTGCCCTTTCAAACCAACAAACAACAAATTTTTCATGTAATAGAAGTTATCATTTCTTCATACATATAAACACATAGAACATGTTCTGGCAAACAAATAACAAATTAAGGCAAAAAACAAAACAAAAGAGAAGGGAAATATTTTTGTCAATATTTTGTAAAAAGAGCCACAAATACCATACATAATTATTCACAACTCATTTAAATTGTTATTGGGTAGCTAATAAAGTCTACAAGTATATACATAGGTACTACATGGATTCGCATTCCAATATATGGCATTGTGTTACATGTTGTATGTTGTGCGTTTTTGCATTATTTTTTTGTATTCTGAACACTTGAAAATTCCTAA